GACACCACAGAAACCAAGCTTGGGCTACCTGTGGTTATAGTTAATATTCAAACATGCATGACTTCTGCTTGTTGTCCCCTTGCTGTTTTTTTTAGATAAATTTCTAAAGAATGCAGTACCTTTATTGGCAGTAAAACATCATTATGTTCATGTACATTTGTAAAATGGGTAACTTTTTCCAGTATGTCTCAGTCACCAAGAGTATTTACCACGTCTTCAACTAAGCACGTGCAACTCCATACGTAATTCAAACCAATGTTCACAATCGCTTTACCCTGGGCTCCAGAGGTTCTATTCGCTTTTCCCGGAACATTGAACGAGCGAGCGCCGGAGGTGCGAGGGAGCGAAAGGAACCTGGTTATTTCTTCTCCCCACTACTCGTCAACACAGTAAATGCCGGAGCGAGAATGCAATAACCTCTGGGCCCCAGGGTATATAATCCCACGAACCGAAGCAGAAGGAAAGAAGGAAGCTGGAGATTCTCATCCCCAGTTCCCAGCCACTCAGCTAGGAACGCCTGGGACCATGACCCCTATTTTAGCGACCAAATACGACGAAAAAGAACGGCCTGCATGTTTAGATTTGGGTTCAGCCCGAGTAAAAAGAAAATTCAAGATATGAATTTTATCTTTTCGTGTTGAAAAATATTTCACCACTCGAAGATAAACTTCATACCTTCGCGCCACTTCGTGAATATCCTCTATATATTTTAATATAATGCCCTTAATGAAACTTTTCAATCAGCCTATAAGAAATTTCATAGCGTTGAAACAGCTCTTCTCAGAGTTCACAATGATATTTTAAAATCATGTTTTTTCAGAATATTTATGTATTTTTATATCTTATAACATTAAGATAGCGTTAAATGTTGGTAAGCGCTGTTGAACTAAAGGAATTAGCGTTATATAAAATATAATTTATTATTATTATTATTATTAAGAAGATATAACTAGCTAAAAACTAGTGTGAGCTGCGTCGGTGTTTCTAATCAAACAGTAATGATAAAAAGGTAAATTATACACCGTAGTTTTTTATAAAGARAACTTAAACATACTTGTAAAAAAAAGTTTGGAGCTTTATTTGCTTACTTTTCTGACGTTAATAGTTTGACGAAGCAAAAGAAAAAAATAGAAGTCAGTCGGTTCAAAAAATCTAGTCGCTTTATGAAGCATAAATAATGAAAATGATATGATGAACTTGAAATTAGTAAATGCCATTGAGCTAGAGCTAATTTTATATGACAATGCCGGTTAATTGAATTGAGGCGCTATATAGGAGTTATCTCTATGGGTTCTCAATCTTTCTCCCTCCCAGACTAGACATGCAATTCTTGGCGAACAAACGGGATTCATTTCGTAAGTAGGGCCCCGGGATAGTCGTRTGGGAGGAAGCTACTTCAAAGAGACTGTGGGATTCCAAGGAGTTTGAAAAAGAAATCCCATGCAAAGACTACACTGAACAAAACCAACTTGCTTCGCGTTCGTAATAATTGATGAAGTGGCGACAGTAGACTGGCAGTAGTGAAAATTGAATGAGAAAATCAAAAATATAGGAAGAGAAGAGAAACATTGAAAACAATRGATAAGTATAAACGAGTAAATGTGTAACACTAGATGGATGGACGAGAAAAAAGAAAAGAATAGGAGAAAAATGACAAAGTGAGAGAGAGAGAGAGAGTTTTATATATATGTAGAAAGAAGCGAGTAAAAGAAGGAAGGAATAAAAGAAGCAAGAACAGATAGGCAAATAGAGCAAGGCCCCCTTGTCGGCCCATCTATAAAACTGTGACAGCAAATGCTTTTCACGAGCACGTTAATATATCTATAATAATATGCTTTAGCAGTAAGTTTAGCCCTTGTTTACTCGAAACGCTTTTGTAACGTTTATTTGAAGCACAGATTAACAAGACTGAATATGCCCCCTGCTTGAGCAAGGGAAAAGAATTTGATAAAAAAAAGATTATTGCGACTTCATGACTATATGAACAAGCTTTTCAAGCTAATATAACTTATATTTCAATGTACACGTCTTGAACTCCTTCGAAGTATATTCAGACAACTGATCAATAATTAATAACTCTTTATGAAATAATTCAAATCATAGGTTATTGAGGTACATTGAATAAACAATATGAAGAAATTTCAGTCAAAATGACATTAAATTTTCGCGAGGTCTAATACTTAATTAAACCTATTCAAACGTGAATGAAAACCGCGTAGCTTTATTTCAACGTTCCTTTGAACAAAATCAAAAATTCAAAGAAAGGAAATGCACACTCTTGTTAAGAAGGCTTTTGAAGATGAATAAGAAGCAATAAAATATGATAATATTAACGAAAGGGAAAGTTTATAAGCATTGATTTCAAGCTCCAGTAGTTAGTAAGTAAGAAAGAACCGACGAGAAAAGAAAAACGGTGATCAGTGATCTTTCTTGGTGACTTTTAATCATGGCTAACAAAAGTGCGGTTTTTCTCGTTTTCTTTTTTCTACTTTCTTTGGCCATAATCCACGAGAGTGAGGGATTGTTATATGGATTTTCATACCACGGAGTGCCAAAACAAAAGCAGAAGACTGGCGGTGATGAGCCTTATAGAAGAGCGAAAGAAGCAAAGTTCTTTGGAAAAACAAGGTTTCTTCGTGTATGTATGAATTCATTCTTAAACATAAAAATTAGAAGGAAAAAATCAATTTGTTTTTATTACTTGATTTACATGAAGGCCGTTTACAGAAAAATCATTTCAACGTGACGGAATTCGCCGGAAATCTTTCCTGGCCTTATATTTTCGTTCCTCGCCTAGTTTTTTATTTTTCTTATTATATTTGATACATCATATAACAAAGTAAAAAAAGACGCATCTCAAACGTTTTCTTTCAAAAAGTTTTTGAAAAATTAAACTTTTTCCCGCCAAACGTTTTTAACGGTGCTTAAGTGTCCTCCTTATTCACTTAAATTAAAAGTATAGCATTGAAATTGTGCGTCCTTAAAAATACTTCTAATAACTTCGTACAAGAGAATATTACTTAATATTCTCTTGCTTCGTAAAATACTCAGGTAAGATTTGAATTTTATAGAAGAAAGATGTTTTTGAAATTATAACCAGTTTTTAAGAACAAAATCCTCATGAATAATAATAGAAAATATAGTAATAGTGATTGGTGATAATTTATTTATCCGTCGTTCTGCTAGACGTTATGATTTCCTAAACGACTGCTCTCGTAAACAGAGAAAATTTTAATTTTACAGTGCGACTACACTAACCAAGTCCACCCAGACAAATTTTCATACAAATTAGCCAATCACGATTGAGTATTTAAACAATAGAATCTGTTAAAAAATAAGCAGATATTTTCTTTAAGAAGATATTCGTATCAAGARATTGCTCTGTAAAACGTGTCGTTTCTGCTCAGCCATTTTCTACGTCCATATATGGAAACTACTTACCATATTTGGAGTTTGACGAATGTTTGTATCCCCAAAAAGACCATTATTCTTACTTTATACGAGTGTGTGTATCAAAAGTGAACTAAAAAACCATTCAAAATCGAGAATACACCAATTCCTCTTTTTTTCGGATCAACTCATGTTATTCGGCATGAAAAATGTGATTTGTGAATTTGATTTAAAGTTTGTTCGGGTAGCCTTGCTTAATGTACTCGCACTGTTCAGCTTAGCGAATGTGTTTTTGATATAGGATACTGACTGATTTGCCTTAAATTTCTTCCATAGGACCAACAGCAAGAAGACCTGACCGACAGGAGACTAAATTACAGGGACTGAAGCATTTGATGTGAATGAATCCAGAACCGTTCTCAACCAGCACGCATAATATTTTCGCTTCAAATCTATCGTAAAGAATGTATTACTAATAGAAATAACGATTATTGATAATAATAAATACCATTAGTTTATTGAGGAATATTTCTGTAATTATTTAAAATTTTCCGTTTAAAAGTAATGAGAGGAACAGTCTTCTAGTCTTAACCGCATAATAAAACCCCAAAAATTTCGTATAAACCCCACAATTTCCTAAGCTATTAAACAGTTAACATTAGGGAAGATGCGGTTTTTATTGAGGAGGGGGGGGGGGGTGAGGGAGGGTCTATTTTCCCCCTCCCTCTTATCCCTTGGCTCCTGTGTGTGTGTCTTGTAGGTAGACCCAGTCCCCCTAGAGCAACAAACTTTGGAGATAGAGAATTTTAACACAATTTTTGGATTTAAGGGGGTAGGGCCACGTGACCTAATAGAGCTGCATTGTTAAATGGTCCCTCTTTTCCCTCCTAACTCAATCTGGTCGAGTTTTTGCCTGACTTGGTCGCGCGGGGGGTGAGGACGTGTGGGACAGCACGTGGGAAGAGGGAATGCGGCTGAGTAGGGAAAAGAGGGATTGTTACAGCTATTTTCATAAACATGCGACCTCGGTGCTCAGAGTTGCACGCTGAAATTTGGTTTTCCGCTGCCGTCAATCAAACCTAATCAGTCGGCATCTTTCATATTTTTGACTGACGGCAGCGAAAAACACAAATTCAGCTTGCAACTCAAGAGCACCGAGGTCGCATGTTTATAGCTGTAACAAACTAGACTGGCAAATCGTCTATTTGGTGCTTTTCAGTTGCTTGGGGGGGTGGTGAAGGTGAGATTTGAAGGGGGGGTCACTAAAAAGATCAGGTTCAAGATGGGAGGGGGGGGGGAGCAGACAAAAAAAAACAAAACTAAATAGTACAATTAATTAATTTTTTATCTTTATTTATTAAAGATAAATAGTCATTTAGGTAAGATTAATTTATAAGTTTATACGTTGTGACAATATGATTTATATATTTTTTCTATCAATATTCATTAGTATTATTTATTTATTTACTTATTTTCTCTATTTTTTTATTCATTTATTTTTTATTTTAGCTTATTACCACGCATAAGGTCGTCATACAGTGGAATTTACGTGTTGTAAAACATTGAATTATTAATAGCAAGTGTTCCTTTCAGTCGAACCATTTTGGGGCTGTTTTAGTGGACTGACATATTTCCAGGATGGCGCCTATTTCTTCCCCTAGACCAGCCCACAGTTGACTCAATGTCAGCTTTTTCCCAGCATCTCGGAATAATAATATTCTGAATAGGAACTGCATATCAGATCTTGTCGTAAGTGTGAGATTTCTTGTTTCTAGAATCGTCATGTTTGTTTAAATGTGAAGTACGAGATCGGTAAAGAGAACAAGATGAGACAACGGTGCCTCTAAGACCAAATTAAGGGATTTCTGAAGCCATAATAAAGGCGAATTAGCAAGATAACGTCAGTGTTGTCGTGTTATCTCCTGTGTACACAGTATCCCCAATCCGCAACGTGAGACAACTCAAATGAATCCAAAAAGAAATTACATTATATATTTTATCGTAATTTGTCTAACGGTTAATCAATACAGGAGATGAACGTTCAAAATGGTGAGCCAGACTATATTGGCCCTTCCGAGGTATAGCAGAAAACTGGTAACGAGTTGGACCCGCAGTGAATCATGGGGTTGTTGAAGGCGACGCCATTTTTACTCGGGCTTTTCCGAAGGAAACGGCCGAGTTATRAATCTGGCTTCGTTATTTGCGTTCAGTCACAAATCGCCGACGCGTTCACAGCCCATGCGTTGATTCTATGTAGTGCGCATGCGTGGTAGTATGCGCCGTAAAAGCACATGGTGGACGAGTAATGGCGGATTGTCTCATTGTCTCGTTGCTGACTGCGAATACTATGGAGTCTATGGAGTTTCACGGTTAAAGAGAAAGCCCGAGTTCACGCAGTCATGCATCTAGTTCTTTTTTGTTTTACGGCTTTTAGTTTTTGAATCAAGGCAGTTGAAAAGTTACTTTGGAGTTTTCGGTCTGTTTCATGTTTAGAGAACTTGCTAAGCTTTCTGTTAAATTTAAAATAGAGGCGAGTGTGTCAATATTATTTAAAAATAACCTAAAAAAGCTTAGTTACTCAGGATTAGCTGGATACCCGGATACCCGTGCTTTTCAGATTGTAGCATTAATAAAATCTTAAGACCTTTCTGATTGGTTGGTTGGTAATTTTTAACAACACACAATACAAAAGGTGCTGTGATTGGCTGAATCGATATTGCTATCAGAGTTTGTGACGTATCAAATCTAACAGGCCTTCTAATTGGCTGGTGAATAATAAAATTTGGGCCATTTTTAGTTTTTCTTAGTTTTTTTTGCTTTAGTCTGTTGAAAAACCTGTTTTTTTCAATTATTTGTTCTGTTTCTTAGAATCAAAATACATTACGAAACAATGATACGCAATTAAAAGCAGGAAAAGCTTTCGAGGCTCACAAATTTGTTTGTAAAATACGAGGACATTTTACTTAACACTAGCGGGAGGGAAAAAACGCTAAAAATCGGATTTAGAGCAAATTTCTTAGGCTTTTCCGTATGCCGGATACTTGGTATTTTCTAGAGTTTCAGTATACTATTWTCTATGTATACATATTTATTTCAATGTATTTCTGTTTAAAGATCTGATAGCCAGTGATAAAACATTTTCAAGGCAACGAAAATTTCTACAGTTGTTTGATGGCGAATTTACGGCGACTTTTAAGCAATTGTAGTGATATATTGAAACAAAACTACACTGAGCTTTAGAGGTTATGTTTCGCTTCTTTTACGCCGGAGCGAGGGAAAATAACCTTGAACAATCCCTTCAGAAGTTGAAACAAATCTAATTTGCCTTTGGTAGAAGAGGAAAAACCTGGACTAAGAGCCTTCCAAGGGAGTACCATAGCACTGTCTTTGTCTGGACAGAGTCGCTAAAACATCTTTACTTTTCCGTAAAATCAAGAGCTATTTAAGATTAAAATCTTCGAAGGATATTCTAATTGCTTAAATATAATTTTCCCGATATATTATTTCCCGTATGACTTGTTATTTTAGTGATAGTCAGTCTTTACTTTTCTGTAAAATAATGTAAGTACTATTTACGATTCAAATCTTCAAAGGATATTCTAATTGCTTCTGATACATTTTTCGGTAATAAGTTCCTGTTCTAGACGAATACAATGCATATATCGTATACTTAGTGTATTGTTTTATATTGTATGTATTGTCTTGACTTCTATTGTCGTTCTATAATTGTTTCTATAACATGAACGTACTACCCATTTTTCCAGATATTTTATTTCCTATGACTTGCTAGCGCTATTTTAGTGTAGATCAGTTTAACATAGTACAAAATACCACGAGTCCGAGTTTGACAGAACTAAAGAGTTGAGCGTAAAAGAAAACCCTGCATCAAAACGCTAAAAGCTTCTTTTGCCAAACACTTTTCTTTTTTGATAAGCTATTCAACTGCTACCATTAGTCACCAATAATTGCTTGTGAAAAACCTTTTTTAACGTCGAGTATTTAAAATACATTTTCGAGAGAGCATTTTATATTTATCTGTCTACTCCATAAACAGACCAATGCGATGGGTTAAGCTGATTCGTAGCTAAAAGGGCGGATGGTGATTGCGTTCATATTGAAATTAAAGTTTATTTGACAGCTGACTGGTAAGGCTTGAGACGCCACATTAACTTGATGCTCTTTCAAGCAGGATTTTAAAGTGTTACGGGCCAATTGAGCGTAAACATGGGCCTTTACATTGTGTAACAGCTCTCGACTGAGTAAAGCAAAATGTCACTTCGCTTTATTTTTCTTTTTTCTTTCTTCGAAGTTCTTCCTATTCTTTTCATTCGTTTTTAATGTCTTTCTTTCCGTCAGTCTTTCTTTTTCACTTTTTAGGTACTGTTTTGTTATCTTATTCATTCATTCATCCATCCATCCATCCACCCACCCACCCATCCATCCATCCATCCATCCATCCATCCATTTTTTCACTCTACCTTTTCCTTCATTTTATATTCTTTTCTTTTTATCTCTCTCCATTTCCTTAGCCTTCCTGTCCAACGCCTCCTGGTTCGACTAATCTGATCAGTTCATTCCACGGCTTTAATTTAACCAGCCTACCAGCCGTTAAACCATTAGATAATCCCCAGTTTCCGATCCAATCTACCCTTGAACCGCTCAAAATAGACAACATTTAGAAGACTAGATTGTGTAATTCCATTTATACCTCCCCCAGTCTGTCTTTTCCTCTTTTAATCCACAACATTCAGTCTCGGTAACCTAAATCACTGTCAACTCGTGAAACAGGACAATCAAAACATACGTACATAAAATACAATATACGTTTGCACCGAAAAAACGCGCCAATCGAAATCTCCAGATGGTTGGATTGAATGAGTCAATGACAAGTATTTTGAGATAAAAGCTATCGGGTTTTTTCACGCATTTTTACGCACAATTAGCTAATGGTTTTTACTTTTTGTGCTCTGAGCGGCTTTTTACAGTCGCTTAGGTCTTTTCATCCCAAAGCGCCCCAAAGCGCTTTAGACAAACAAGATCAAACATGACAAAACATGGACAGTGCAGCGATATCGTCGAGCACGGTGACTTTTTGATCTGGACGAATTGGTAACAGTAAAAAGAAATAAAGGAAAAGAAAAGAGAAGAAAAAAGAGAAAGAAAAAGGAATAAGACGAAAAGGAAGAAAAAGAAAAATAGAAGAATCAGAGAAAGAAAATGGAAGGAAACTGAAAGAGGAAAAAGGAAAAATTAAATGCAAAGAGAAGAAAAGGACAAACACAAAAGAGAGAAAAAAAAAAAAAAAAAAAAAAAACACAAAATAAGAGAAAAAAGAAGTAGAAAAAAAGAAAAAGTGAAAGGAAAGGGGAAAAAGAAAAGAAGAAAAAAAGGAAAAGAAAGAAAAGAAAAAGCTAGTAAAATAGGTTATGGTATATGTCTATCGTTTTCTAGGGAGGATGATGTGAAAGAGATACACGATGTACTGAATTTACCGTCCCACCTATATATAACTCTACACGCACT